ATTGCTGTCGATAGCTTTGTGAGTAATGCTGAACATCGTCGTCAGCTGAAACTAGTTAAAGTTCAATTTCCTCGCAATCTACTACCATTTGTGAAACAAATGATTGAAAATCGAAATAATTCGCATGCGCCAATATCGTCACATATCGGTAGTATTATCTTTAATTCACGCAAACTCATTTAATCATATGAACACTAAATCTGCTGTAATGCTATTCTATCCATTGAAAGATACCTTTTTTTCATAATTCAAATTAAATTTTTGAACGAAAAACAATAACGATTGAATTCATAACAGAATCAATTCATTGGTAAAATATATCTTTTTCTCACTCTGTCATCTAAAAAAAGTGACAAAACTAGGAGATCAATCCTATGAAAATAATGATGAAGATGTGTTCTACAAGTATCTTTCCTTTCATTTTTCAGAACCACCACATCGTCCCCGGAGAATATATCCAACGGCCGACCCAGTGCACAATCAGTTCTAATCGATTAGAAGAGCATACCCAGGTCAAATACGTACGGTGGGAAACTGTCTGATCCGGTGATTTCCCATCGAATTCCGGAAGCAGTATTCCGAAAAGTTTTCCGGTCTCCGTTTCCAGGGTATTTCCCGCTAACTCCTGGTTCCAGAACCGATAAGCGGATACTGCTTGCGTTTACAACAGGATTCCGTACTACGTTTCCGATCGTTTTCTTTTGATGATCGGAAACGAAGGAATATGAATAGTTTCCGATCTAGATACGTAGCCAGGATCTGGCCGTTTTTAAAGCGGGTATGGAGTCCGGATTGCGCCGTTCCAACAACCGGATCCGGCGAATAAGAACTATTCGACGTTTCCTTTTTCGAATTGAGAAAAATTTATGAATTTCAAGGATAAGTACGTATTTCTTATTTGAAGTACGAATCTGTAGAATTTCTGCGTAGAGTTGGATTGAAACTGACTTTCCAAAAAGCATCATAGAAAGTCTAGTAAACAAAATATTTAGATTGAAATCAATAAATGAATGAATTTAACTGAATCTTATTGTCGATTCTGTCACATAAAGTCTTTACGATATATTGTTAACCTAACTAATTTTGATTAATATTGCATACCTAATGTATTACCAATTACTTTTGGCATGAACCTCATTAAAATTGGATTACCGACATGGAATATGAATAGGATGATCACAGTTTAATTGGTCATATTTTCTTATGTGTTTACTCTATCTGATACTAAGATGGCTAACATAGGAGTTAAAATTAAATTTTTATTTTCTCACTTTANTTTCTGAATATCCTATATTTTATTTGGAGTCCTATTTTTAGTGATATACTTCGCCCTGTGCCCTGCCCTGCCCTGCCCTGCCCTGGGTATCTGGGCAGGACAGGTCAGGGCAGAGAGAAGCAGGGCACAGGGCAGGGCAGGGCAGGGCAGAAAAAAATGCCCTGTGACGATCTCTGATCGGAAGTTTTGCTGTTTGTGTCGTTGAACGTTTTTTTGAAAAAGATGATTTGTGTTGATTTTTCATTGAATTCGACGACACATTTGCATCGAAATCATCTTCATCAGATGATAAACTTAATTGTTTTTCTTCTTCTACTTCATCATTATCTAAATTTGGCGAACACTGTTCACGTTCTGCTTGTTTGCAAAAATGATAAAGATAAGATTGATGAAAGTAAAATCTTTCCATTACCTAATACTCGAATTTTTGAGCTCGACACAGATTTAACATTGATAGAATCATACTGGCAAGATAATGAAGATAATTTTTCTTTAGCAGATTTCTCATTTATAGTTGATATCTCATCGTCTAATAATAGAATAAGACATGCCTGAAAGATGTTATTGTAAACCACTCACCAGCAACAATAATAGATAACATTTCTTTTGAAGAAGTCGCTAGAAGTACCATACTCATATATCAAGTAGATTATATATTATTGCATCTATACTTTGTCGTTCTTCACGTATGGTCGATACTGGATTTGATGTCAGAGTTGGTGTTGAATTTTTCAATCGAGTTTCTTTTTGTTTTTTTATTTTCCAATCTTCACAGTCAGATGGAACTTCTTCATGCATCTGGGATTTCATTGCTCGTTCTAGTAATAGACCATAACCCTCCATTGATGCTTGCGTACCTGAATGAAAAATGATATAGATTAAAATAAAACTTATAAGATGCAAATTGATTGCATACCTGTTTGTTCTACATGAACATTATATGATTTCCCGAATTCATTGATAATTCCAAAACCGTCCTCGTTGACATGCAACAAGCGTTTCGATTCGGCGATACTATATTTCATCGGTTCATCAACATAAGTAATACATGTATAACTAGTCTTTTCCTTCGATGACCTCTTTGTCAAATAAGAACGTTGATAATCGTTGGTTGTTGAAAACATCTCAAATAGAAAGAAAATATTACCATTAATTAAACAAACAAATAGATCATATAATTCCGTAAATCAAATAGAGTAGAATTTAAGTTACACTAATGAAGATATTACATAAATGTGAACAACAAATATTGGCGAATTCAATCATGTTCGTAACTTATGCATCTTTCACTAATACAAAGATATTCCAGAAATGGTACGGATATACATTTACTGACAATATCGCAAACTTGTATTATAATAAATTCATTACTTAAATAGCATATTGGATAAAATGAGTCAATTCTTGATTTAAGTTCATTTGGAATCATTAAATAATCAGATATTTTAACAGGAGACATAAGGTATTGTTGTATCAATGAGTAATATACGTTGTCGTGGGAATAAAACAAAATAATATTACCATATTGCGTTTGTTGATGTTGGTCCCGATATGAAACTAAATAGCTGACGCATGGAAAACGATTACCATATAAAACCGAATGATATGTTACATATTTATCTTTAAATCGTAAATACAATCGAATTTTTCTAATATTATGTGGAAGAATAGCAAGTTTTTCATTTAACACTTTTCTATAAAAATTTAATGGATCATTGCATAGTTTTATTTCGTTGAGTAATTGCTTTGAAGGTGATCCAAATTCTTTTGATAGCATGATTGAGTCAATATCACACCAAAATGCAATTTGAGAACCTAGGTTTTTCGTTCCATGAGATTTTATTTTTAGAAAACGAATTACCGATTCGAAACAAAATGAAGATGAAAAGGCCAAACCACCGTGACCTAAGGCAATATAGAAAAGGCAATATTCATATATTCAAATATCAACACTGATAAAAAAAATCAATGAAAAAAAATAGTGAGAAGGTTTTTTTTCTTACTTAAGACTTGAGCTGGCAAGTGTAAATGAGCATGTAATGAGTACAATTTAATTTTTTGATCATAGATTATAGATGCTGTTTCACAATAATAATGTATTAGTTTTTCTGCTAATTTTATTTATTCAATAGTTTTAGGATAGTGTAACATTTTCAAGAAAATGCAATATATTGAAAAATGACTAGAATATAATTTTGGTAAATACTTAACAAGTATTGTTAAGTCAACATTTAAAATAATCAATCTAGTATCTTTAGCCTTCCAGTCATTAATAGATCGAATCAAATAATTGTATTTCACATAAACATCATGTGGTAGACGAAGATTTGATAAAAGTGAATCAATTTTTTTTTTTTTTAATTACGCTGAATTTTATTCGTGACATCCATACATTTTTTTGTGATTTTTGTACAATTTTTTGCGGACGCTTACGAAACAAGTCAACAGATAGGACTACGATAACAAACAGAGAAAGAATGACAAGGAAGAGAAAACGAATAGAACGAAAATCGAAATCGAGGCAGTGATGACGCGGTTGGCGTGCATTGCTGTTCTTCCTTTTGTTTATTCATCCGATACCGTATATCTTGACTCCGAAGACACCGAGCCGGGGGAAGGAATCGAGCCATCTCCTATCTGACTAAGAGTCAGATGCATAGAACCACTACGCCATCCCCGGGTAAAAGTGAATCAATTGCATTAATATCATTTTTCGATAATATACCGATAAAACGTTTCAATAGGGTTGGAACGTGATTCAACCATATTAAATGCATATAATCATAAATAATATCATCGGGATAACGAAACAATTTCAACAAACTGGAAAAGCCTTTAATACCAACAACAGACTTTGCATATTTACCATCGACTCGTGATATTAGTTCAACTTCTTTAGCAGTTTTTACAAATTGTTCATGATTTCTTGACATGTAATTATTATTTCGATAAGGATAAATAATTTGCTTCTTGTATAATGTGCCTAAACAAGAAAAGAAATCAATGAAGAAAATAAAAACAGAAATACAGGAAAAATTTTTACTTTCGGTAATGCAATTTGTGCATGCAAAATATCCATTAAAATGAATTGTCTCGGTGAATAATGATTTTGCTGGCAAATCCGAAATGAAAAATAATGTTTTAACATTCACTTGAAATTCATGTTCATTGACAAATATTGATGTTCCATTTACAGATAAATCCGTCAATTGTTTAATTGTGACCTTTAAAAAAATATTAACATCCGGTTTGATGGACGACACCCACAAGAGGCTAATGCTAAAATATTGGTTTGGTATTCTCTAATAGGAGGTGGCAGCTCTACAATCGAGCTAAAGCACGGCCATAACGCGGCCTTTGTGGGTCATACCAGTGGTGCACCATCCACGTGAATATTGAGAGTTATTGGATTAGCAACATTCTTTGTAATTAGCTGGTAGCGATTACCAGACGAAGTATCGAATTTAGGAAAAAGTTCTTCGTAGCCAGTAATTACAGAAATCTTTCGGCGAACAATCGATTGCAATTTATCCCTAACATTCATTGTGAAAATTTCCATTAGTTGTCGTTTTGATAATTTAATATTAGTAAAAGGGCAATTAAAATTCGTACAATATTGTTGCCCACCTTTAACTGCTGTTAAAGCAAGGCAACTATTATAATAAAACTTAACTGTCGATGAAGGCTTTTTACCGTATATTTTTAGTATTTGATGGAAAGTTGTTGGTAATCGATTGGGTATACGTAATATGTATTTGATTACATTTAGCAAGGCAACTACCTTGGATTTATCATAATTTGAATTAATATAATAATTCATAATGTATTGCACAGCTTTTCCGACACTTACTGATGCTTGTTGATATAATGGTAAATTTCCATCGTGTAGCAATAAAATTTCATCGTCGATATTAACATTATCAGCTTCATTTGAAGAATAATAATTTTCAAAATTATCTTCGTCTGAAAAATGACCCCCATCAACATTATCATCAAGTTCTTGCCGATGTAAACGTGTTGTTGTTGTTGTGTTATTTAATAACTGGAAGTCAAGCATATCAACCGAATCACTGCTTGAATTAATATCAGACTTCGATTCATCATCAACAATTTGTTCATAATGTACTTTTTCTCTACGTACTCTTTGTTGTAAAACTCTTGCGGAATAAAAATCTGTCTTTGCCATTTTAAAAGTTTATTCTTGCTATAATTCAGATTCTCTTTTGTGTTGAGAAGAAACGCTGAACTTTTAATAGATATTTAGGAATTAAAACTGCATTCTCTGGTAATACACAATGCATTATCATACTGCAGAAGAAGAACAACAATGACTATACGTCTACGTTGTTATTGGATACAATAGATTAGTCAGTAAAAATTCAATCCGACGTTTCTCTCATATATGCTTTACTATTAAAATTCTTGAAATGTTTATGAAAAAAGAACGGAATCTAGTTTTTGATTCCTCAAAAAAGAAGAAGAGCATAAATTTCCAATTCTGTCTGTTTTGAAAAATCGCGATTAATCGCGATTTATCACCGATTTCTTTTGGTACTTGAAAAATCGTTGATTAATCGGAATGAATCGGCGATTTTTTCTGTGAAATCAAGATTAATTGTCGATTAGTTCTTCTTCAATCAAAATTATGAGTATCAAAAGAATATTGCAATACTTTTACCACAATTACAAGTAGAAACATAATTTTATTGAATCCAAAAAATTGATCCACTTGCTCAATTTATTTTTATTTAGTGCTCGAACAACAGGTTATCATCAATGTGTTGGTTATCTGTTAACAAATACTCGTATAAGACTTGATGATTGTAATGTTTTTATAATTATATTTTTAGGGTGAAAGTTTTCTTATCGTGTTTATACAAAACAATCACAATATGTTCATTTCATCGGAATACCGACTACCACGTGTCAAATTAGAGAAAAAGAATATTTTCAATAATATGATCTTTGTAACAGTGTAAAACTGAACTGAACTAATTGTTGTAACTAGTAAAAAGTATTATACGTATTTAAATATGGTTTCATATGAAATCATAATCAATTAATATAGATGAATATCTCGTGAGAATTAAAGGTTTGGGCAAAATCTACGTCAACTATATGATGATATATTTGCACGATAAAATAAGATCCTTATAATACTAGATAACGCATAAAAATTATATCTTGAATTTTATCTAACTTAAGAAAAAAATGTATTATTTTATAAAAAGCTGAGTATCTTGAAAACGAAGATTAATTTCTATTTGATAAGCGAAGGTACTAAATATTTTTGATCTTATATAATTCATATTGATGATATATTTATCTTCTTCTATAAAGACACATATTGGGAAAAGTAGGATTGTACTAACTAAACAGAATCAATTACAGTGGAATTTTTTAATTACATCGACATGAATAAGAAGAAAAAAATTGAACGTTTGTCTATATAGTCGATAGAAAAGCTCAATCCTTCGACATAGAGTTTTACTGAAAAGGTAACAATATGACTAATATTGAAGTATCCATTAAATACTATGCTAGTTTGCTAGTAAATAAAAAAAGTGTTTCATTTAAATCAGAGAAGAACTTGCTGTTTTGAAGCAATATGCAATTCTTATCTACTCTTCATTATAGTCTATATCTATCAATCTTTTTTTTATATATTCTTACCTGTTGATGGTGTTGGTACTGGTAATGGTGACGGCTAGAAGAAGAAAAACAGAATCACGCGTATTGATAAATGTGCCATCAATCCCAATCATTAGTTGTGGTACCAGTTCAATTAGAGAAAATTGTGATTGAATTTCTTCAAGTTGTACCATATAAAGATCTTTGCCTTGGCTGAGGCATGCCACAACTTTAAATTGTGTTGCAACTGGAAGAAGAATTTTATCTTCAGCTTGAAAAAAAGAATATCTTCGAATATCTTTGCCACTATCACATTCGATTGTAAATAGAGTTCTTGGGCCTGTCGTACCCAAAAAATGATCATTTTGGAGTACACTGAATTTGGACGTACAAGAGCTGAATCCCCACCAAACGAATGTTTTTCCTTCGGGATATCCTTTTCTCATGTCTTGTTTGACACCACGATAAACAAATGAAAGGCTGGATGGAATTTTAGCCAGCGCAGTAAGAATTAATTTGAGAAAAATAAACCAAGGTTTCAATTTTTGGCGCTTTTCATTTCGCAAAGTTTCATTTAAAACATGATAAAGACATTCCTCTTGAGGCTTCCATTCCATTGAGTAGAGAGTAATTAAGGCTGCTTCATCCATGGATAGTTTTCCGGGTGAAAGCTCTGCACATTTCATTTTCGCAAAGTAGGCTCTTCGTCTCACATCAGGTACATATTAAACAATGGGTTCTACAGCCTCTTCTAGTGTAACAAGAGGTTTTTTTTCTCATAGCCCTCTATAGGCATCAACATTCGACAAGGTTCTGCCACTAAATCCGAAAAACGATGCGTAGGGTGTTGTTCATCGATATCGACAAATTTTGCAGGCATTCGTTTTTTTAAATTTATTATTTAAAATTGTGAATAAACTGATCGGTAGAATTTTTGATTGAAAACTAAGAAAAAAAAGCGAATGATATTAGCTTTTCCCTCATAATCAGAAATGCAAGCATCTATCGAACGGTAACATTTGTTTTTAATGAGAACCATTGAACAAAAATGTGAGTTGATTATGCGCCTAGGTGCCAATCTACGACTTTGTTGAGTTCAACACCCACATCCACCCCAAAAATTTACTCACCACAGTGAAATGTTGGAAATCAGAGTGTCCTTGAAAGTTGCAATGTATTATTAAAAATAAAAATTTCAGTTATTTCTGTCGTGCACTTGTTTTTTTTTCAAATGGCTTACTTCTTACATTTTTCAATCTGACAACACTTTCTGTTCTGGTTTTTCGCCTTTTGCTTTCTCCAAGTTGATTTTAAATATGAGTGCTAGAAAGAAGGATTATACATAGCAACAATGTAAAAATTCACCTTTGAGTAGACGAAAAATGATGACAAAGAAAGAATTCAGTGCGCAAGGTATTCATATTAGATGGAGTATGACAGATCGATAATCAACTATGCATGACACAACACGTCATTTTGTTGAACAAATTTTTTCCTTCTGTTTCTTTTTCTTCATTAAACCAAATTAACAAACAACAAAATTTCATCATTTTCTGCATTTTCCTATGCAACAAAACGTTTGCTTCTGGTCACCAAAAAAACCTGAACACCGCATATGACTAGAAAGAAAGAAATCAAAAGCAACTTGGAACTAATAAATGCAGAAAATTCATTTTTATTTGTGTTTTTTGTGTCTTGAATAGATTTTCTTTGCCCACAAAGGATAAATCGTTTAAAACAAAACCTGGCCTCCGATTGTAGTCTTTTAAAATATAGGAATCCTTAAAGGATCAAGGTTGTCAAAAATATAGGATTTTCGATAAAAAATGACAAAAAGAGGACGTTTTATGCACCGTTTCTGTTCTATTGTTTTGGTATTTTTTAACTGCTCTGCTTGAAAATCATTTTAATGAAGCTGTTATAAACAGTTCAACCGTAGCAAATATCCTGATGTAATTTTTTCTACTGAAATAAGTCGCTAATTCGAGGATCATTATAAAAGCTTTTCACAAATCGATAAATAACCATAAAGTAGATCATAAGCTTTGAAAAAACAAATACTATTTCCAAGGGGGAAATATCGTACTTTTGTACTTTAAGTACTTTGAGGTACTTTGAAATACTTTTGTACTTAGTTGTATAGTTCAAAGTAGAAAAGTACGACGTTTTACGCTTGGATAGGCTTTCATTCAGACACTAGAACATGTCCAATGGTATTGAATCTGCTTCCTACCCAGGTGAATGAATCCGACAACGGATCTTATCGAATCCTATGGGATCCGACTCCCTAGCAGAATCCGATAGGATACCTGGACATGGGTCTATTGTCGGTTCCGACGGAAAAAATCATTTTCTTATTAACGATCAAATAACCATTTTGAGCCATAAGAGTGCAAGGGTGATTCAATAGAGTTGAATTCCGTTTAAATCCGACATCGGATCCGGTCGGATCCAATACCAAGGATCCGAATGTAGGTCCGTGCCCAGGAATCCCGTAAGATTTCGTCGGTTTTATTGAAACATATATGGTATTCGGTATATTCACTGTCTGACCCTTGTCGGAATCCGATAGAATCCGATAGAATCCTACTGTCGGAATGATTCTCCTGGGTAGGTAAGCTGAGAACATATTGTTGTGATACAGTACAAGAAATTAATATTTTCTTTTGAAACGGGACACCCTCAAAATTTTCCTTAATTTTTGATTTAAGAAATTACCAATTCCTAGCTAAGCCAACTCTTATTATCAATGCAAGAAACGAGAAGAAACTTTGGGCAATTTAGTATTTTAAAGAATTTACTTTAAAGAATTTACTTGTACTTCGAGATACTTTGAAGTACTTCGTGGTACTTTAAAGTACTTTAAAATACTTCGAGATACTTCCAAGTACTTCGGGATACTTTGATGTACTTTTTTACTTTGAAGAGTCAAAGTACGATGTTTCCCCCTTGGAAATAATCGAGTAATTATTTATAATTTACGATATTTAAATGAAATTCGCTCTATATTATTAAGAAAAAAAGTAAAATAGATTTGACGTCTACTTTTCTCATACACTGATTAGCATCGTGTAAAATTCTTAGAAATAAAATTAAAGAAAAGAAAATGCTTATATCAATCATTATTCTTTGTCAAGAAACACAGATCACGTCATTGATTAATTAAGAGATTTCTTTTTGCACAAAAAAGCATACTCTCTCTGTATTAATATGCATTTTCTTTTCTATTTCAAAATGAACCGGTATGCAAAACGTAGAAGGAAAATATAATTTGTTTGTAGCGAACAGAGAGGTTCACTGGGCAGGGTGAAAGTTATACCCTGCAACGTAAAATCCCAGTTGTTTGAATTTCTGTTTTGAAGAAATGCTTTCCTTAGTTTGCAAGATTCAAAAATAAAAACAGGCTCCAGTGAGCGACACCCACTGATAATTAGAAGTTGCTCTATGTGACCCAGTTTATATAAGCCACGATTCGTTCCAACAGAAGCTGCTCAATCGATGGTCGCCAATTTTACTCGTTATTTTACGCTTGAAGTTTTTACTAAATGTGCATCTTTAGTTGAAATATTTTTCCTTAAAATATGAGCTCAACTCATCAATAATTCATCCGTTTAAGCTTATATTTTAAGGAAAAGTATCTCAACTAAAGATAGATCTACATTGAAAATTTCAAGCAAAATGAATGCAGCTGTAAAAAGATTTAAGTCTCAGAAAAATTTTATATCGCAAGAATGGAACAAGATTTTTTGAAACAGTTTGCCCATGAATTCATCAAACACTTGCCTCTATCGTGCGTAAAAGTATCAGTTAAATCGAGCCATCTCTGGTAGCGAATATGTTTTCATGAATGTTACTTCTTGCTATTAAATTCATTTTACTTGGAACGAAAAAGAATGAAATCGGATATTTTAATAGTATCCATAAAGAATGTCTAATCTGTTGGTATATAGATCAGATAAAAAATAAATTCATATCAAGATTTCGAAATTTCATATACAAGTTGACTTTGCCAGTGCACTCATTTATAAGTAATAAGACATTTATTTTGAAGAAATTTAATTTCAAAAGAAATGATCGTTGAATACCTTTTTAATTCTATAAATTCTTGTTTTTTTTTTGAATGCACTCTAAACTCACATACACCCTCAAACAGTAAAACAATATTTTAGCTTTCAGTTGGAATTCGTAAAGCCTTTAGCACAGTTGGTACCATAACATAGAAACTTCCCGTCAATATTAATTCTAAATATTCAGCTTCTGTAAAATATTGTTTCAATTGCTTATCTAATTCTTCACTAATTGCTCCTCCATTTTGAATTAATGATTCCATTAAATCGAGTACTAATTTTTCTTTATCATCGAACAGAGAATTTTGTCGCCATTCTTTAATTGAATTAATCTTTTCTATTGTTATGCCACATTGTTTCGCCATTTGTTCATGTTGAAACCATTCATATTGAGAATTACAGAGTTGTGCACCGCGAAGAATCATTAATTCGCGAAGTTGTCTGGATGTTGTACAGTTCGATCGTAATGAATAAGCAAAATCAATCCAAGATGAAAGAAGTGTTGGATTATTCGCTAAGACTTTATAAAGATTAAGATCAGGTTTTCCACCAAGATCAATAACTTTCTGTTGAAGTTCAATAGGAACATCTTTTAGTGGTAATCGTGCTTGACACTTATTGTTTTCGCTCGACATAATTCTTCTTAATTGATCTAGAGACGGAAAAAAACAAATATTTGAGCTGCTCTCAAGAGTAATTAATGTTTAAAAACAGAAGCTCTAAATAGACCAAGATTCTATTGTGAAAAATGAAACAAACATACAATAAAATGTGACATCGATTCATTTCGTTACAAAATAACAACACAACAAAAAATACTACTGAAACACGTTGCGAGCTAAGGAAAGAAAGAAAGAAAAAACCAAAACACTTTTGATCTATAGCAAGTAGTCATACTTGTTCTTCGGGTTGTCTTGTTTTGTTTAAGATAAGCCTTTTCATTCATTTGAAGACTAGTCATAAGAACTTCATCAGAATAATATGATGAATTTTTCACAGTTTCGACCAGTTATATTTTTCGAAATGTATATATCAAAATAGAAATCATATAATATCTAAGCATATGTTATGTCATGCTATTCTTTTCTAAATCTAAATTTAAAGTTGTAGGAATTCATTTTCTTTTTGTTTTACGTATTTGCTATAATTAACAAGCATTTTGTTTTTTCTCAGTATGATACCGTTATTGCGTTAATTTAAAAAATGTTTGCATTTACGTTCTGTTATTGTCAATAAAGCTTTGCATACACATCGTCAAGCAACACGTCATGTTGATGCTGATTTATTCCAATCGCGAATAAATCTCTTTAAATCATTCATTCCTTTTCTTTTCACTGAATAGCGAACGCAATGTCTTACCAGTTAAAAAAAGAACATCTAACGAATTGGAACGTGCCAAAATCTGATTGGGGCCCAGCAAATATTAATAATAAACCGGTTATAAATTACGATCGAGATGTTTATACACCAAAAAATTCTTCTCCTACGCCTATTGTACATGACAAAGACTTGCCATTAACTCCAAATAATAATAAATTAGTTACACCACCATTACCATCTGCTAATTTACCAAAAAAAGAGTCGCACACTCTTCGATATGCTTATAATGAATTGCCAGAAAATGGTATACCCCTTGCTGTTCAATTCAATAATTCAAAAAAAGAAGAAGAGAAAAGAAAAAAAAGTATTCGCAAAGCACCACCGGGTCAAGGAACTCTTGCTCCACCTGTTGAAACTCAACCCTCTGATATGAATAAAAACTATTATCCATATTGGCATTATTATAAACTTAAAAATCCGGATTGGATGATGCGTCATCGTCAAACTAATGATGGTCAACTAATCCCTTATGATGCAGTTGATCCTTCACAATATGTTGAGGAACCTGCCCTGACAAATATAACACCAGAATCAAGTCGACATAATCGAAAATCTCATCGTAAGAATTATGATAAATATACTCTGGGCAATAATCTAGATAGACGAAGTAACGATACGAATAAAAATCCATCGTTGCCAGTGCCTTCAATGTCGAATGAAAATATTAAAAGACAAAGATCATCATCAAGAAAGCATAAGTCTTTAAAAGATGCCACTAATAATCAATCAAGTATTCCAAGAAATTCAAATCAAGTTGTAACATCTGACGCTTCGAAACATCGCAAGAAAAACGTCAATGATGAGTTTACAAATGAAGATAAAAGACATCACCGTCACCATCATCATCATCATCGTCATCATCATCATCATCATCATACACCTTCTGAGTCTCAAGAACAAAATCAACAGCAATCTTCTGTTCAGGTAGAACAACAACCTAGCCAACATCATCATCATCATCACCATCACCACAATTATTCTGTTTCATCAGACAAAGAATATGTTGATCAAGAATTTAGAGTTATTGATGACTCATTTAAGAAATCAGAACGAACCGCTTATTTTCAAGGGATACGGAATCCGCCTATAATTAACAATCAAAATTCTTATCTACCATCTATTTTGCCACGTGAAAATCTTAGTGGATCAAAATCAACTGATTTTTATACGAAATATACACTGAGTAACGATTGGAGAGATTCAGTTAAATCGCCTCGTATATATAAAACTGATCCACAAACGAAATTCTATGATCGTTATTTCAATAGCGTCATAGAGAAAAAATTAGCTTCTTGATAAAGTAACGAATTAAATATTATTTTTCAATAAAGATACAAATTTTGTTTTGGAAGAAAACTACTTCATCCAACACTCATAAGAAATGAAATGGTGGGCGCAATAAAAAGCATGTGAAATAGAATAAATAGCTTTTTTCGTCTTTTTGCTTGACTCCTATAGCGAAAATGCTATGAAAAACTGATGGTTAAACATTGTAGGAATAACATTTAAAGCTGATAATCTCTTTTTTTTTGGAACAATTTTAAACCTTAAAAGCGATTCTACAATTAGGTCCAGTAGTACCGTGCTCATTAGGGTGGGCGTGGGTGTGGGTCGAGACCTTCTTTCGCGATCCAGCCTCTCATTCACATCCACAAGCTGACCCACACCCACACCCACCCTTGTATCATCAATAAACGAATACGATTTATCACATCCTCTAATTATTATGCTTTGCCATCCATAGAAAATCATTTTGAAATTGATTTAGGAACAGAAAATAAAACAATTCTTCCTCATGAAACAGCTTGTTGTTGTGGTTATGTAGCATTACTTCAATGTGCGGATAAAAGTAAATCGTAAGACATTCTTTTCGAAATAAAATCATTTGTTTTTTTTAATCTATATTTTAAAAGAAATCAAACGAAAACATGCTTTAGTCATTTTAATCGTTGATCTGCTTGATATACCAAATTCAATTAGTCGATCATGATCACGTATTATTGATCAATCAACGGAAAATCATAATACTTCACCAAATCTTATATTTCTCCTTGACAATAAAGCTGATCGTTTACCAAAAGGGCAGGTTTGTTTTGAATTAAGAATAATTTATCATCACACAAATACTTTTAAAAGAAGTGAGAATGTCTTCAAATTGATAGTCATTTTTTTTAATTTTAGACAGTGAAACTTATTTATCTGATGTTCATAAGTGCCTTGAAAATGAATGTACAAGGCGTGGTTTAGGAAAACATAGTTAAATATTATGGCTTAATTAGTGCTCGAACTGGATATGGAATTGAAGAGCGTATTTCAAAAATATTTCGCTATTGGTTACAACATAGTTTGTCATTGCACTCTTCTTTTCTACTGCAATACAAATCCGTAGGTGGTGTTTATTTACTTGGTGATACAAATGTTGGAAAAAGTAGTTTATTTAATGATCTTATTGATTCTGATCTTTGTCATATTCATGCATTTGATGGTGTTCAACGTGCACCTGTGTCAAATCTTCCAGGTAAAGATATTTCTTAAAGGATTTCTTATTTATTTTATTGTATTATTTGGGTAGAATAATGAATGTTCTTCGTTTTTCCATTCAATTACGAACTCAATTTATGCGTGAGGAATGTTTAAAAGAACAAGAAGAAAATGAGTCAATTCTTGATGAAAATATTAATTCAATTGAAAATGAAACAACAATTGCTCGTATGTGTGGTGTTTTTCTTTCAATAAACCAAATATTAAAGATAAAATTTCAGAAAATGTTGACTCAACAGGAAAATGGCGTCGTCGATTTGAATCGAAAGTGAATTTACCTTGAAGTGATGTTGAATATGCATATTCATCTGGTGAAAATTCATTTTATGAAGATCATTCATTTGAATCTCATGAACATAACTATATTGATTATCGACAAAAGAAAATGCGAGCCTTTAATTCTGATTGATGTAAAAATGAAAAATGACTTTTTGATACACCAGGAGTTATTTTACCTGAACAAGTAAAAATAATTATTAATATTCTAATTTATTCTTGTGTTGTTTAAGATGATTAATAAATGTAGTAACCCAAAAGAACTTTCATTTTTTCATCATCAATCAACTGTTATTCGATTGGTGAATATTTTATTAGGCGTTGGAGAAACGATATTAATCGGTGGGATTATGTGCTTTTGGATTGTTGGTTTGGTTAATAATTGTTATCGATTTTTTAGATTAGTAATAATGCTCGAGCAAGTCTTTCTCTAATGACAACGTCACATTTGCCAATTAATATTATAGAAACAAAAGATGTTGAACAATTTTATGAAAAAGCTGATAGGAAAAACAAATCTTTTAAAGGTTCCTCAAAATCGTATTAATGATCGATTTCAAGATCCACCTAAACTTCGTAGACCAACTGTTGAAATTCTTGGAATTGGAGAAGCAGAAACAACTTGAGATAGACATTGTTTTATCTTCAGCAGGTAAATTTTATTCCATTTACGTGGTTCACATATAGAGCAAACACCATTCTTTAATAAACATGTCTTCATGGAAGATCAACAAGGAAATGAATTCGAAATGATTATTAAGGGAAAATTATGGAAAGGTGAACAAACTAAGCATCGAAGACGAGCAAAACGTACATAATTTTCATATCATGAATTTGTTTTTGTTGATAATTGAAGATAATAAAATAAAAATACAAGAAAAAATAACGAGCGACGTATTTGACATAAATGATGTATAGAAAAAGTTGAATTTAAGGAGGGAAAATTCTATTCGTGAATAATATATGAATTTTTCCGAAATATTATCAATTATTTATTATGTTCGTTATCAGCGAGAAAATAATGTCGTGATAAATGCTTTTTAAAAATACACATAATATATGATCTTGCAACGACAAATTGAAAAAGTAGCTTTACTAGTACCCTCTCTCATGATGTTTTTTGATCACTCTATATCTCCAGAATATAGAATAAAGAAAGAGTAAAAGGTGACATCGTTAAAAGATCGATATCATTATCGGCACAAGACTCAAACGTTTGTGGGAAAGCTGAGCCATGTCTTGTTCCATCGAGCTACCCTATTAGAATTCTCCATAAAATAACAGAATATTGTTTCAAGGCAATATCAACATTTTATTATTGGCTGTAAACGTTTTACAGTTTATAACATTAAAGATAAAACAAACAAAAAAAAACAAGTAGTGAACTATGACAATTGTCTCGAAGACACATCTGTTGTATATAATAAACAGGCAACTAAAGCCAGAGACGAAATCTTAGTATTCCAACATCGCTTCGGCAATGAGGAAAGCGAGCTTGAACCATTGATCGATAAGATTCAACTTTTTCATAATGAATTTCACCATTAATATCGAGAAATGTAAATTCTTTTAAATTTTCGACCAGTCGACAAAGATCTCGTTCAAAGATGGCTACATGCTGAGCTAAAATAAGAGAAATATATTATTCGTTTATTCTTTAAGATAAAATCATTGTATTTGTAAATATATTACCAATCAAGCCCGGTGTTTTTAGAGACTTCAACCATCGTAGAAGTTTCACCGAATAGTAGGGCTCTTTTTTAAAATCCGGCCGAACTTAAACAAAAAAAGACAATAGAGCAATATGAGCCTATAAAATAGATTAGATTTTTATTTAGTGAGCAAAAGACATCTTTTCTTTTGTCTACTTTTCTTTTAAAAAAAACCCAGTTTCATATTAGCCTGAAATGAGAAATGGTCGAATCGAATGTGAGCTTTCTTAGGTATATTTTGAAAAAAATAAATATTTGAATATTCACAATAAATGTGTGAGAAAAGAAGCTATTCTTTTGTAACGCATTTCATTATTTACTCGTTTCGACAGAGAAAAATATACGTTGTGGTCGAGACTTTAGTTTCTTATCATTTTCTTCTAATCGTTTCACTTTTTTGATCAGAAAATTTTGAAAAATTTTATTTTTGTTTTTTAGAGAAACATATAATAGTTTTGAATATTTTAGAAAAGAGTTAGTATATATATTTTTTGTGTACTCAACAAGTGAGTACACTCTAGATTCGGTCAGTGTGTTCGTCCGGCCGTTAGCACGATAACTCGTGAAAGCCTCATCCAATTGTCTTGAAATTTTGTACACAGAATGATCTCATCAATATTTCAGTCGAGTTCGAAGATGAGAAGGATCCGTCCAGAAATGGCTGAGTTATCGAAAAAATTGTCATTATTGACCAGACCATCCCTGAGGAGGGATACAGGGATTTTTTCAAAAGAAAAACTTTTTTTCTCAGAATTATTCAAAACATATATCAATCGACTCAGTTTTTGCAGTACACATAACAATCGGATGTGAATCCGATGTTTCCTCATTCATTTAATTTAAAATCTAATTACATCGAAAATAGTTTAACAAACAAATTATAAGAACATTTCTATAGAACTTCGAAAACAAAAGTCAAGTTTTCAAAGCATTTACTTTTCAAATTTCAAGTCTATATTAGGTAATTATAGATCGTAGTTTCATGAAACATAACAGGAACTACATAGAATTGATAAGAAAAAGAACAGTATTTTCGTATAAGGTTAACTATGAATCATTATGAAAATATTTGTTTGACTAATAGAGAACAAAATAAAATTCATGACTAATCAGAAAAATAATTTATCATAGAATATTAGCAGATTTTATTTTGATAATTTTTATTCGTGTAAAATAAACTTACTAGTTGTCCAAGAAAAATCATCTGGTTGCCAAAGACGTAGTGTTTGTAAATGAGACATGTATGTGCTGAGAAAAGGCACAAGATGTTTACCAATATGAATTGATTCATCGGAGCCAGTAGAACAACTTGGAAGACAAAATTCAGCATATTGAACTGTACTTAATGCCTCCCTTCTTAACTCGTCAGATGCCTGAATAGAAAAAAAAACAATAAAACATACTAATCTATTAGAATTAATTTGTCAAATCAAGATAGATATTTTAAAATAACACAAAAAAAATGCTTAACAATAATTCACTTATAGAATAATGATTAAATTTTTTTTTCTAAAACTACAATCGCAAGTTCTAAGCTTGAAAAAAATGGAATTAGTATAAAATTATGGCAAAAGATAGATTTATCATTACATTTAATTAAAGATATTTCGTCATCGTCTATGTTCATTTTTCAAAATCTTATTCTGCATATCAATAAACAACAGAATTAATTTCCTTCAATCTTAAATATGATTAATTCTCAAATAAACTAAACCAATTCAGTTACAATACTGATATCGTATATTAGATGAAAATAAATTTTATTTTCTTCTATAAATTAGATCACTTTATTTATTTCAATGGTATAACCAATTCAGATTAGAAAAATGAAAACATCTTGAACTTTACAAGCTCAAGTGAAATCCTACAAAAATTCATTGTGAAAATGTGAGAAATTATAACAACCTTATAATGAACTCGAAAGAAAATAAAACTTCTTCGTAGAATTTAAAGTACTCTTACAAGATTTTTGATCACCAAATAATTTCTCTTGGATATATTCAAGAATTTAAAAGAAGATCATAAGTAAAACAAATTCTTACGCATTGAACAACATGTAAGAGCCATTCGAAGCGTTCAACTAGAAGATATTTCAGTTGCACAGTCATCGAAATGAGATGAGCAAGTACTTTTTCACGTATCTCATTTCGACTTGGTACTATTTCGGTATCAGCTAGAAAAAAAAATTATATTTTACGTAATTGCCGTAAGAATAAATATCAAACAATGAAATTAATGTATTTTAATCGATACTTTTTTAATTAGAAAGTAATTATCCAAAATTAATTATTTCCAGTCTGTTTCAGAACATTCTCTAATAAAAAAAGATTTAGGATCTTCTACTGTGTGTTGTCGTGAGCAAACTATTCGCTCTGAAATTCATTTTATTTTTCTTATGTTAAAGTTTTCATCGTCTGCAGTGTTCATTATTTCACAAAGAATATTATTCTTATGTTTAACATTTCGATAAAGTCATTATTCATTCAACTGTCGTTTACCAACAAGAAGATCTATTTATTTATTCTATGAGATTCATCCTCACTTTTTACTTATTATACTCATCCGGACACTATTGCGTGGGTACACCGACCATTGAGCCTCTTATCAAAGATAAACTAAATCAATACATAAAGTTCGTTTTATTTGAAGAAATATAAATTTTTGTCAAAAATTGAATAGAGCTCTTGCTCTTTTGAAATATAGAACTCAACGACTTTTCCTACAAATCTTTCTTTAGCTACACAGACTCTTTTCAGTATTAATCATTGCAAAATTCACGTTAAAATTCTCTTTATAACTACGAATTATCAAATCTGTAATACAAAAACTAAAAAGTTTATTTAATGACAATTATTGTAAGAAAAGTAGTTTGATATGAAAATTTCAAACTACAAAAAAGGTGCAGAATCATTTTTTGGTAATAAACGAAAAATAAATGTTGCTTGTTTGATTAGAATCTTACAAGAAAACAAAGAAAATGAGTACGAACCGTTCATCCGATCAAGATGTGTTCCAAATTGAATTTTTGTAACATTTCGAAAAGGCATATCAACCCCCTTGTATAGTTTCATTTTGCATAAAATTTTCAATGACACGAGGAGGTCTGATTCGTCAAAACCCATCATACGCGCTATAAAAAAAAACCAAGGAATTTTATTTTATAAGTATATTTTCTCTATTTAGTCGATTAGATTGATTATGTAAATATGTTGAACTCTGTCATCTATTTACTTTGATGTACTTCAATACAAGAAATATTAGGAGATAATTCATTGAATTGTTCCAGAAATAAATGAAGTGATGGATATAAGTCAAACCAAATAAAATCGATACGTGGCCAATTGAAAATATATGAATAATTACTAAAAAATAAAAGAATATAATTGAATTAAAAAGTTGTCAGCTTTCATAAAGATAAAATGCTGTTAGCGCAATCCCTCTGGGATTAAAAATGTGAAACACGGCATAATCACTGCAGGAAATCACATGTAGAAGGCGTATTCAAGGAAGTTCTTTGTTGATTTGGCGAGACAGCTCGTTTGGCGCTACCAGTGGTGAACTACGCCAGGCTGGAACAGCGTCTCTGATGGGCTGTGTTATGTTTGAAGCTTGTCTGTCACGCTGTGATGGCCTCTGAAGATTTTGTGTAACGGTCTGTGATGGGAGAATGGCCTGTCGGTAACGGTCTGTGGGGCGGGGAGTGCAAAATTTCTACCCTAAACACTTCAACACTCCTTTCAGGTCGTGTTTCACAAAATCTTACTTGAGACTATCAGAAAATTGAAGTGCATTTGTGAAACAAGAGAAAAGATGTTGACATTCAATTATTGGATCAAATAAACATTTAACATTGGTCCATTTATAATCAACAAAAAAAGAATGAATATAAAATGATTTTATTATTCTTTTTATATCATTCGATGATAATTGACATTGGGAATAAATATAAAAATCAAAATTAATTAAATTAATTATTTTATCAGGTAGACAATAATGACGAATGAAATTTGCATCAATGACAGATTTCCATATATTTCGACGTCTTGTTTCGATTAATTTATCACTTTTAAGATGAACTTTAAGTTTTTCAACATAATTTAAATTATTAAGAAGCCGTTTTAGATAAACAAATTCCGCATCTTCACAAATGAAAGTTTTTAAACTAAAACATCGTAGTTTTGGTATCTTAAAAGAATAACAATCGGATTGTTTTTATTAATCAAAATTCTTACTTTATTAAATCAATTTTCATTTGATTGACTCGAAGTTTCAATATTTAACTCCCATAACGAATCAAAGTTCAATGAATATTCAAACTGAACTGACATTTCTTCGAGATTGGGTACATGTTCAATAAGATTTTCAAGAAAAAATGTATATTTAAGTCGAATAAATAAACGACGAAGAGTCATACAACAAGATTCACATTGATTCACAATAAAATTCGAAGAAAAATAAGAGTTTCCTACTAAACATTGATGAATATCACCACTTGTAAATTCATTGCTAATATCAAGTCGAAGAGATTTTAATCGGCATCGTCCTGAGAATAGCTGACACAGAAGTTGTTTGATTAAAATCATTTCTTTTTCTATAGTTTGTCAAAGAAAAATAAAAGCGAAATTTTTTATTATTAAATAATAAATATTCTAGTTTAACGGAGACTTTTCACTTTCTCAATTATACGTCGTTATAAAAAATGTTTCGAAGGAAATTTAGTTTTAACCACAATTACTTCTTTTTAATTTCATATATAACAAATCAAAACTTACATTTGCGAAATGCTTGTTTTTTGATAGATAAAACTATCGAATACTAAGAATATATATGGGATAATTAATCAAATAAATGTCAATCTATTTCTATTGAGTCAACTAAAGAAATGTATCGTTTCATTTGCATTTACATGAATAAATCGTTGAAACACGTTCAAAATAACTATAAGACAGAATTGATAATAGAAAAAAATATATATAATCGCCTACTAGTTGTTCATATCTAGGAGTATTTTTTATAGCTAGCAAACAATGAGCTCTTAAATGTGTGTAGTTTTATTTTTCATTCTAAGTTTCATATTATGCGAGCAAATCTCGCGACATCATTAACCAATTTGAAGCTGGCGAGGGAGATACCCGAAGTGATAAACCGTCTTACAGTCCGTACTTTAGGAACATGTATATATATAGAGAGAGAAATTCTAGACTAGAATCATGCCAAAAAGTTTTGGGCCGACTGACTTTTCTTTCGGAGTTATGACCATTTTAGTAGATTTTCGGTCTATGGCAATACATCTACAAAAATGTCAAATGAGGAAATCTCGATTTGGAATTTTACTCATATGTAGCCCTCATGAGTCTTACTATACGCTAAGTTTTAGAGAAAATCAATGTTCCTTTCTCGAAATAATAAAGTTACAAGAAATACTCATATTTCATACAGTGCTCAGAAAAGGCCAGATTTTTCTATATTCATTATCTCGAGAAAGGAACATTAATTTTCTCTCAAACTAGTAGTATGTAGTAAGGTTCGTCAGAGAGAGCGCACTAAAACAAAAGATCTAGATTGATTCATGTTCATCCCACGCTGTTTTCGAACTATCTGACTATTTCGTTAGATTGCCGCTCAATGGCAGAGATGATCAATGGATATTACAGTTCGACTTAAACACTTGAAGATAGCTCTCATGGTACTCTTAATGTGTCAGTTATTTCAGCCCAAACGAGTTACTCCTATGTTAGACATGAAGTCCTTAAAATCAATATTTTATAAGACATTTGAAAAAATGCAAATTTTTGAAGAACTTCTTATCAACGGAAGAAACCGTTGGTTTGTTTGCAAAATCTCGATGCATTGTAAGAACATTACATCGATTTAAGAGTAAATTTTCAAACTCAAATTCCGACATTTAATATTCGTTAATAGATTCTGTTACTCACTGAAAATTAAGTAACATAGTCATAACTAAAGATGTACGAGGTCAAATCTTTTAGTTGTAATATCAGTTACTTCTTTTCCAACAGTCTCGGTCATAGTCATGATAAATCTGGTCTGGCCCTTGCTAGGATTCGACCCTGACGATTTTAGTTTTCAACTACTGGCTCCGATCTCAGTCCCAGTCTAAAGAAATCTGTTTTTTTCAGAATCTATTCATATGAACTCTAGGAAATTCTTAAATATTATTTATTTCATCTATTTACTCAACGAATGTTACTTTTTTTCGATATATTCTTCCAACTTTTGTTTCAATCAGGATGATTTATATTTCTTTTTTGGTTTATGCACTATATTTATTCGTGACATCCAATGATATTTTTTGTGATTTTTGTGGACGCTTACGAAAAGAAGAGTCAACAGACACGACTACGATAACAAACAGAGAAACGACGACAAGGAAGAGAAAACGCGAAACGTAAACAACAGCACGAAAGTCGAAATCGAGGCAGTGATGACGAAATTGGCGTGCAGTACTGTTCTTCTCAGAGCTCCGCGGGACGGGACAGGACATATTTTTGGTCGTCCAGCGGAGCTCTGCTACAATCTATAATTTTGATTTGTTCAATTTTTTTTCGCGTTGTCTCGGTTCTGATCCAGTCTCACTCATCTTGAGACATAACTTAGCAATAAGGTATTAGGAATACGAATCAGTTTAATTTCTTTTCTCTTATCTCAATAGATCTTATTTAATAAAACAATTCAACTTAGAAGTGCCTTATCATCTCAGAAGATGTTTTTCTGTCAAGCTAATGAAATCAATTCTTAATTTGTAGCATAAAGAAAGTCTTTAGAAAGTTGCTTAGTTATCCGACTATATACCAATAGATTTGAACATGTTCTTAAATATAAATATTTATTCTGAAGATAAGAAAATATCGATTATAGAATATATAAGCCGCTAATTATAAGTTCGCTCATTTTTTCTCGTTAACTGAAGCCCCAGGGTTGCCACGATTTACCTCCCATATGAATAGATTCTTCGCACAATTGCTCCTAACTGATTCTACTAAGCATTAAATGTGTCGTTGATTTGTTTTCAAACATTTACTGTGTATGAAAGTAGAAGAGGTGAATGTAGTATTTTCTCTTTGGAAGCTAAAATTTTAACCAGATGATTTCGAAATCGAATTTTTAAGGATGAATTTTTCAGTGAATGGTTTTATATGAAATGTAACTGTACTCGATCGAGGATAACTTATTCAAGATAGATGAATGTCGTTTTATTTTTTAGAATCTGCCAAATAAACGATTTGTTACCTGTATCAGATGCCATTGACGAATGTTCGTCTACATAAAAATCCCGTATGAACACTTGATGGTCAAATGTTAATGTAAGTTCATCTAATTGATATTCAATAAGATAAGATATGTTTTGAATTATTGGTTCAATTGATATACATCGAGTAAGAATAAGTGATTTGAGATTAGGAAAACGAAGAATATTTCTACCCTTGAGCAGCAATTCATAAATGAGATCACAAATAATTGAATTTGTTTCATCAAAATGAATACGTCGAATAGAAGAAGAAAGAGATGATGAATTTAAAATCAATGGAAAGAATAATGAAGAAAATTTATTATAAGATAAACCTTGTTTAATAATAAGACCAGTATTTAATGAATTATCACCTATTGAAAGAGCTAAACACACAAGAGAATTGAAACGTATATTTAACGACCAAAAACCCGTTAACAGATCGAACAGTTCAAGATAAGAAAAAATATGAAGAAGAATTTCATTCGGTAGTGTTTCCATTCTATTTATTATTTTATCTAAAAAGAAAGATAGATTATGCGTTTTATATTTTTCAGATTGTTAGTATAAATTCAAAGAAATAAGTTACTTTCTTTAATAAAAACAAACTAGACTTTAATTTTCAAGCTGATCACAGGTCATCACATGGCACTTTTTTGCCTTCCCCTGAAGAAGACTCACAAAACAATGTTGTTGCCTTTCCTTCCTCTCAACGCAAGATCACCTGTCCAGGAGGTCTTATAACTGAGTTTACCTATTATAACAACTGGTTAACTACCAAAAGCTGCGTAGTCGTTTTCATATTTAGTAATGTTTTATTCAATGTTTCAACAGGAAACTTCAATTAAATTTGAATCTAATGATGATGAATTACAAGAAGCATCATAATAATAACATTTCCTTATATCACATACAAGCACTATATCATTACTTGATCATATGAAAACATAAAATTCATAGATAGAAGTATATAGAAAAACAAAGAATAGCATTGATAGGCCAATCAAAGTAACTTATGCTCTTATTATAATAAAACACTGCTCAATGATTTCCCTCCGTCTTCTGTTCGTCTCTTTTTGTTGTAATTGTAGAGAACTAAATTTTGTTCAACGAAAATGTTTAAAAATTGTCATTGTGAAAAATCGAAAATCACATCAACTTGCAGTAATACAAGGGGAAAACAGCAGACTCCAACACCTCGGAGTCTCTTGGAGTCACAGTAAGTATCGCAAAATCCCTGCTGATCTCGAGAAAACCATTATAGAAATGGGAAACTGATACGTTTTTACTTTTTTCTGTCATATGTACCATTATATAAAATAGTTATTAGTCTCCTTCTTTGTTGGAAATTTGGTGTGTTTATTCTGTAATGGGAATTCAACTTCCGGGTACTGAGTCATACTGTCAAGAGGGAAATGAGAGACTCCATCTTCTTGGAGTCTGCTATTTCCCCCTTGGTTGTTCGTCATATAAACATTATTGACTGCAAAATATTGTGCAAAACATCATTGATAGAAAAAAATTGGGAGGATACAATTAAAAAACAATTTACTTTGTCCTACAGAAAAGAGACAGCGCAACCCTACACAGTGATGGTCTCTGGTGGATTCTGATCAATTTCTATATGACATTAAAGTGAAAAATTTAGAGTTCAAATTCATGTGTCACGATTGATCAGTTTATTTTAAGGTTAAATACAAGGCGAAAGGCGTCAGTTTCTGTCCTTTATTTGCATAAATCTTATGTCTCAACCGTAATAAAACACACAAGAAAAATAGTAAAATCATACAGACCATCCAAGAGCATATTATATCACATAATATTCAAATATTGCTGTACTTGTTCGTCAACATATGCTAGAGAAAGAATAAGCATATTCATCTCATTTTCATTCGAGTCCTATAAATTCGACGAAAAAACAGATTCACATTCGGCCGATGACCTCAATCATGCCTATTCCGTTCAAAGTGAAGTGACCAATGCAATTGACGTTGTTACGTAGAAACACCAAGTATGTTTCCTTATTTGCTTTGGGTTAAGTCAGTATGATTGGAGCCTATGGAGTCAAACAGGCTAGACAAATAAAAAATGAATTACGAAATGTGATTGGTGTTTTCACATGGCAATATCAATCACATTCCTTAATTCACTTTCAATTCGTCTAGTCTGCTTGAGACTTATATAATGAAATGATAAACAACTATTCATTTCAAATAAAACGAAAAAGTCAGCATTCATTTTTTTTTGTCGTGTTGATGACCGCATAGTTATATACATTTCAATTTTTGACGTAAGAAAAAAAAGAAACTGTACGGGTTAGCGAGCAATGGGACAACGGCGTACAATGTAAATATAAAAAACGATAATTGTTCGCCTATATGTTTTTCATTCTATGTAACTCAATATTGCGGAGTATATTGATCTGCAATATAAAATAAATATCAATTTTACATTTAAATTCAATTATCTTTATCAATATTCTTAATTAAAACAAATTCTTCTAAATAATCATACATGTTTATTTTGTATGAAATAAATGCATCCTGTTTTTCGATTCTCTTTTATCTTAATGTATTGATTAATCTTTTAACTCTTACTATCAATCAATATGCATAGTCAGTTTTATTTATTGCTAAGTTTTCTAATAAGAGCAATTATTAGAATTGAGATACACAAAGACCAATGCATGACTCATGGTATGAAAAGAAAGAGAATCATGTCATGGGAAAACTCGACTTGTTCCATTTTAAATATTAATCTATTTCATCCGATGAAAAGATTTTTTAATCGCTGGACTGATCTCGAAATGTGCATTTATAGTCATCATTTTTCGTTTTTTTGTGTACTCAAAAAGTAAGTACACTCCAGAATCGGTCAGTATGTTCGGCCGGCCGTTTACACGATAACTTTTGAAAGGAGAGTCAGATCGTGATGAAAGTTTCTACACAGTTCAGCCTCATCAATGTCTCAGTCGAGTTCGAAGATGAGAAGGATTCGTCAAGAAATGGCTGAGTTATCGAAAAACATGTCATTATTGACCAAACCATCCCTAAGGGGGGGGGGGGTAGAGGGATTTTTCAAAAATAAAATTTTTTCTCAGAATTATCCACAACATATATAAAACGATACA